AAAGACCATCGAGTCCTGTCCATAAATAGTAAAAATAGACGTTTAATCAACAATGAACAACACAAAACCCGGATAGCCGGACGTTTGGCTCAAAATTTAGTGGGACTAATCCAGTTTAACATGCAATCCCTCCCTGGCCAGACTTGGTGCAGGCACACAATCCAGAGGGTTAAATCAGTATAACATGCACCCTCCCCAGCCCGACTTTGGCACAATATGTAGCGGTGTATTGCTGTGTGCTTGTTTAATCTACATTGGCTAGAGGTATTGGGGGAGGGTTGAGATCTCACTAAACATGTTTAACACCGCCGCATTTTTTGCTCCTGTCCCAAGTCAGGAGCCTCTGGCCTTTGTTAGTCTTCAAGTTGTATGTTTTTTAATTTTAGTTCATTAATTTTTTAGGAGTTTAGTATGACGTCCATTTTCACTGAACTAGTACACATTTTTGTTAAGGGGCCAGCTGAAGTGCGCCTTCGGGCGTGGGATTTTCTCGCTGTGTTGAATGTGAAGACCCATTGGTGGCCTTCGGCTGTTTTGTTTACTCTATGGTCGGGTTGTTGTCTCTTTGAAACATTCCCCATTTCCATTCTCTATTTTAACATGTAACCTTCCAACTTTTTTTTGTCTGTCTTGACTATATTTGGCATTAAACAAAACAAGAAAAATAAACTACACAGCGCAGCTTCGAACAGGATTACAACAAGAAAATTAATTTTAAAAATGCGGTCAAAAGTCAAAATTTGCTCGCAGCGGAAAAATGCAACAGCTTGATATTCATTTGAAATAAAATAATTGTAATGATTTACACAACGTTACTTTTTCCAATATAAACATTCAAATTATTTTGTTTTTTGTTGTTTTTGATTAATTTACAACATCTTTACAAAGACCACATTCTGACTTCGAAATTAAGTAGACCATAAAATCGATGTTCATTATCTTTCTTATGTTGTAAGTTTAACTTGTCATCTCGTATGTTTTTAAATATGAAGAAAGGACAGTCCGGTTGTCTTATACGTCAATGAAACACAAAAAAAAACGACAAAAAATAAAAAAGGGGCAACATTCATTCTTCAACAAAAGAATACATCACAAGAATATAAGTTTTGTAAGAAAAAAAAACCAAAATCTTGAGATGTTGTGTAGGACTTGAATAGCCAAGGCAAACTGATAAAATATCTGAATGAATGAATCGATTTATGTAAAAAAAAACCAAGGTATTAAACAAAAAAATTAAATGATTTTTTAATTATCCAGAACTCTTCAAAAACAAACCTACATGTATGCATTGAATGATTAGTAGGCCACTCTTTTAAAATGATTACAACGTAGAAGTACTTATTCTCGTAATCAATAAGATATTTTGTGAATTAACCCCATCAACTTAAAGTTTTTTACAATTAATAAACGTATTTTGTATTATTTAATGATATCAGCTCTGAACATTATTATTCTTTAAAATGAAACTGTTGTATGCGATGGTATAAAAAATATTTAAAACAAATCTTTTAAAGTTTCATTTTATGTATCGAAATGTGTAACACGTGATCATTATTTAAATCCCCACTGGAAGGCCTCTGATAGACTGAGTGAGCATAAAATTGTACATTTTTAAAGTAAAATGAGATTTTATTAAATAAATACTTACCATCATAAATTCTGAGTACATCCATCTGCGCAAGTCTGACAGGCGGAAAACCCCAAATAAAAATATCATCCAATGAGAAGAGGGATGACCAAGCAGTGCCCGTATAACCATGCCTTTATATCATCCATTTAATTTCCTAAAGTAAGCAAGAAGCCCTAGGAAAAAAAAACAGGGGATGAAGGGGAGGTTGGGAGGGACCTTTAATTTATGATGGTAAGTATTTATTTAATAAAATCTCATTTTACTTTAAAAATGTACAATTTTATGTCAATAAATACGTTACCATCATAAATTCTGAGTAAAATATAGAATCTAACGCAAAGCTGAATCCCCTGAACCAGAAGATGCAGGAGGAAAAACAACTCTTTGTGCGGAAACTAAAGGTCCTAAGGAGTACAGACTCTGAGCTTGAGTAGATAAAGACTGCAGATAGTGAGAAATGAAAGAATTTTCAGTTCTCCAGAAACCTGCAGATAAGACTTCCTCTAAAGAAGCGTTATTAAAAAGGGCCCAGGAGGTAGAAATAGCTCTAACATCATGAGCTTTAACATGCATACTATTCAGAAGTTCTTCATTAGAAGAATTGTAAGCTAATTGAATAGTTTTACAGATCCAAGTTGAAATGGTTTTTGCAGACAAATCTTGTTTTCCTTTGTAAATAGGAATAAATAACCTAGAATTTGAGGAGGTGCGGAGACTCCGTGTTCTCTGAAGATATAAAAGTAAGACTCGGACAGGACAGGGTACTTTAGAACTTGAATCATCAGGAAGGGCTGGAATCACTATTGGTTCTGAACCTCTGCATGAAATTTGATTTTTGGCTGAAAAGGCTGGATCCGTTAATAGAGTAACAGATGACTTATCCCTATTAAAACGAAGGCAGTAATCAGCAGTGGAAAACGCATGAATTTCACTTCTTCTTCTACCAGAGGCCAAGGCAAGAAGAAAACAACACTTATACGATAAAAACTTGATTTCAACCTTTTCAGCAGGTTCAAAAGGATGGGTTTTTAAAGCTGATAAAACTACACTCAAATTCCAAGACGGGATTAAAACTCTCTGTCTAGGGCGTTCAAGAGTGAAATTCTTAACTAACAGAGAAATGAATTCATTATTACCAAAATCTGGACCTCCAGACAGTTGAATCGTCCTAGAAATAGCTGATCTATAGCCTTTAATTGTAGAGGGAGATAATCCTTTCTCTTCAAAAAGGTGGATCAGAAAGTCTGCTAGTTGCTGTACAGAAATTTGGAAAGGATCAATTTCCTTCTCACTACACCAACTACTGAAGATAGTCCACTTGGCATCATAGACGATGTTAGTGAAATCTCTAACTGCTCGGGAGAGATGTCTGGCTGCGCATTCAGAAAAACCTCTCTCCTTGAAGCTATCCCTGAGAGAAGCCACGCGAACAGATGTAGCTTCTCTGGATTGGGATGAAGAATCTTGCCCTTGAACTGGGACAGAAGGTTGTGTCGTACTGGTAGAACCAGTGGACGAGCACAAGACAGATGAAGAAGATCTGGAAACCAGGCTTGTTTGGGCCAAGCTGGAGCAATAAGAATGATCAACCCTTGCTCTGCTGAGATCTTCCGAAGAACCTCTGACAGAAATCTGAACGGAGGGAAGGCGTAAGCGAACATTCCGTCCCAAGGAACACTCATGCAGTCTACTGCGTAAGCTTTCGGATCTGGTACAGGAGACATGAACACTTGAACTTTGTAATTGAGGCTTGTTGCAAACAGGTCTACATGAGGAGACCCCCACTGAAGTGTTATTGCCTGAAATACTGATTGGAGAAGTTCCCAATCTGTATTGACTGGGGTAAGTGTCCTGGACAGAGCATCTGCTAACACATTGAGTTTTCCTGGGACATAACGAACTACAATCTGTAGATGAAGGTGATTGCAAAGAAGGAGGATTTCTCTTGCTAAAAGGAACAGCTCGTAACAATGAGTTCCCCCTTGATATCGCAAATAAGCCACCACAGTGGTGTTGTCCGATGCTAGAACAAGAGATTTGTTCTGCAGTAGGGACTGAAAATGAGACAGTGCACGAAGAACTGCCTTCATTTCTAGTATGTTGATGTGTTCCTTCAAAAGATCTGGAGTCCACACTCCTGAAACTGAAAGACCTTCCAGATAGGCTCCCCAACCGAGGTTGGAGACATCTGTGAACAGAGTCTGATTTGGAACTGGAGAGGACAGAAGTTGGCCTCTCAAAACATTTGCTTGGGAAGTCCACCAAACCAAGTGAGGATACAATTCCTGATGAATGATTGGAACTGGAAATTCCCAATCCTGTGAAGCTGGGAGCCAATGTTGATGTAGATAAAATTGAGGAGGTCGAATGTGAAGGCGACCAAGTGGAACAACATCCGCTAGTGAATTCAAAAGACCTAGCAGTTGTGAAAACTGGCGAGCAGTAACTGTTTTTTGAGATAGAAACAGATGAATTTTTGAACAAAGATTCTGAAACTTTTCCTGAGGAGGTCGAACTATGCACTGATGAGTATGGTAATGTTCGCCTAGGAAAATAAAGTCCTGAGACGGAATAAGGTCTGACTTTTTCCAAGAGATGAGAAACCCCAGAGATAGAAGCAATCTGATGACTACATCGGTATTGAGATAGAGTTTCTCGGGAGAAAGTTCCTTGATCAGTGAGTCGTCCAGGTAAGAATGAATCTGAAAAGCCTGTGAATGAAGGTGAGCTATGGCTACCTGCATGAGTTTGGTAAAGGCTAGTGGTGCAGTTGACAGACCAAAAGGGAGAGCTCTGAATTGGTAAACCCTTTTGTTCCAAACAAACCGAAGGAATTTGCGGTATGAATGGCAAACTGGAACATGAAAATAAGCGTCCGTCAGATCCAGGGATGTTGTCCACATACCTGGAAGAATAGAAGCTCTGATTGAACGATTGGTCTCCATTTTGAAATGGGGAATAATCATGTAAGAATTGAGGATAGACAAATCGATGACTGGTCTCATTCCTCCTGTCTTCTTCGAAACAAGGAAGAGACGAGAATAGAAACCTGGATCTATTGAAGATACAGGGACTTCCTCCACTGCCCTCTTTGTCAAAAGAGTCTCTACTTCTGTTGACAGAAGAAGAAACTTCTGTGGATCTTGAGTATTGGACAGTGGGATAGGAACAGAAGAAAGAGGAGGTTGTTCTTTGAATTGAAGAGTCAATCCCCCTCGAACTACTGACAGAACCCAACAATCTGAGGTAATACTTGTCCATTTTTTTTAGAAAATGAGTTAACCTCCCCCCTACTGGCAATTGAGAAAGAGGAGTTTTGTAGTACATCTCTGGATTGGGTTCTGACAGTAACGTACGAGGGGGCAACTTCCTAGAAAGAGGGATTGGCCCTCTTGCCACCTCTCTTAAAACTGTTAGGTTTAGACTTAGGGAATGAAGACTTCTTAGGTTTATTACCTCCATCATTAGTCATTTTCCTCCTCTTCTCTTGAGAATTATAAGATGAGCCTCCAGCGGGAGAATAACTACCTCGTTTAGAATTATTTCCAGAAAGAGATACATTCACCTTCACTGAAGCTGGGGTTTGATTGAGGTGCTTCTGTACTTCATTAAGTGGCAACCCGAAAATCTTATCATCTAAAGGAGACTTAATTAAAGCATCCTTAAGATTATCCGAAACCTTTGCTTTATCCAAAATTTCAGCTCTTTTGGATAAAGTGCAGTTGGCTATAGAGCCCATAATCAACAACTGAGAGGCAACCAAAGCCTTGTCCACCTGTAATAGAAAAGGCTTGACCTCTGGTGGAAGAGAAGAGTCTTTAAGTACTGGAGCAACTGCAGATAAAAAATGTTCAGCAGTGCCTAAAACACTGCATTCCTGAGAAGGTTCTCCGTTTTGGACCAAACAGACTGAGAAAGACGCAGTCCATCGGCAGGTTTAGAAGCAATCGAAGATGAAAAAACCTTGTCACATTTAGGTACCAATTTACTCAAGGTAGAATCAAAGATATCATAATCTTTAGAACGGAACTGCTCAGTAATTGAGGCAAGCCCAAAACCACTCACTTGAGAAAATTGGGACTCATTAGCCACAATCCCATCATTGATGATCTGCAGAGAAGTAGACATACGGTTGGATTGTGGAAAACTAGTATGTGACTTAGCGTTGTCTATAGACAGACCACATGAAGCCTCGAAAGTAGAGGTAAGTCTGGAATGGTACCTTGCTGACGTCTCTCATAATGGTATAAACCGAATCTCTAAGATCCTTCAAAGTAGAAGGAGTATCTTCTGCCTCAGGATCCTTACTGGAATTGGTAGAAGAATGACCAATTACAGAAGAAGAGATAGACACAGGAACAGAAGGTTGAGAAACATTCTGAGAGACCTGAGCTGGATTATCACCTTTTTCATCAGAAGTAAAACCTTCTTCCTGACTGCCTGGGGCCACCGAAAAGCGTTCTTCCTCATCACTGTCCTCCGGGTCACTTTCAATATTATGATCTGGAAGGAGTGAACTCACTGGAGAATTTGACTTATTGGCAATGTTCTCTAGCGTACCCAGGCGGTTGGAGAAAGACGTCAATTCAGAAGAAATAGACTGACGAAAGTCGTCCAGAATACTCTTGAACCCATCTAAAGAGGGGCCAGAGTCAGTAACCTGAATAAACTGATGCCTAACAGAAGAGGTAGGCAGAGCAGCAGGTACAGATACACTACTACAACTACTAGTTGACACTGCTAAAGGAGGAGCAGGAACTGACAGATTAGATGTAGTACTCTGAGGAACAATAACTGGTGTGGTAATTGGTCCACAATAAGGCCAGAAACCTGGGAAAGGCTGACTAGGAACCTGACTAGGAAAAACCTGATTAGGAAACCCTTGACCAGGAAACCCTTGACCATGAAACCCCTGACCAGGAAAGCCTGAATAAGGATAACCCTGAGACCAAGGAGGTCTAGACCAAGACATGGCGTTACTAGCCGAAGCAGGTAAAGTGAAGCCACAGTATGACGCTGGCGCTCTAGACCCAGGTAAGTTTAGACCCATAGAAATACCAGGGTAGGATGAAATTGACCCAGTGGTGTCAACTGGCCTGGAAAAAGTGTGCGTAACAGTGGCAATGGTAGGGACACCTCCATGATAACCGACAGAACCTGTATTGAGGGTCTGTTGACCGGTCTTAGAAGTCACCGAAGTAAAAACGTCGGTTAGTTGACTACTAATAGGAGGGGTTCCCTGCCTTACCGTTGTTGCGGTAGCAGTAAAGGGTAACGAATCGTCTAAAAAAACATAATTACCTGTAATGGCCTCGAAAGGACTGGAAGCATTAAACTCCATAATTAAATAAATATGAAGTTAAATACTTATAAAATATAATATTATAACAACAATAATTAATCAACAATGGTATGGGGATACCTACAATATTCACTATCGAAAAAACAAAAAACTTAAAAGTCTTCTCTGTAAGTTGTAACACGTGTGTCTCGATGCGCAGGCGGAAATTAAATGGATGATATAAAGGCATGGTTATACGGGCACTGCTTGGTCATCCCTCTTCTCATTGGATGATATTTTTATTTGGGGTTTTCCGCCTGTCAGACTTGCGCAGATGGATGTACTCAGAATTTATGATGGTAACGTATTTATTGACATAAAATCATTGTTATCGATAGCCGATGGCAAACAAGTTAAAGGTAAATTATTCAGTAGTATTACCAACAAAGGGTTTACGGTTGTCTACGCTGTTATGAAAACGATTCTAAGTAACTTATCAATTTTGTACTTACTTTTTTTCCTTTTTAGAACATTGTACATCCAACAACAGAAATATATAATACACACGAATTTACAATGTCGAGCATGTGACCTATAAAATCACTGACCGACACATTACAATGTAATCCAGGTGTTAAAAGTACAATTTTAAATGTCAATTATAAGTAAAGATAATGTGTAGATTGTATAGTGTGTCTTTTGATGTATTTTATGATATCTAATGTAGAATGTTATAAATCTTTTGTACGCAAACTCTGTCTGTGTAATGAATATGAATGTATAACTTATATGCAAAAAAATTAGAAAAGATTTTTTTTTTTTGTAATAGAGTCCACCGTTTATCCCTGGACGATGGATCATTGTAAACACAGGGCCCTTGTGTATACTTTCCTGGGTTATACAAGGTAAATTATATTCAGGTGATTTTCAATAAATGTATTTCAAGTCTTAAAAAAAAAAAAAAAAAAAAAGTACGATTTATCCCTCTCTTAAATAAGATATTTGTTGGCCATTTTTTTATGAAACAAAGCAGGACCAGTTTAATTAGTTCGAATACTTGTATAAAAGGTAAAAAAGTCAAATGTGTTAATACTATTGCAAGAAAGATACTTGGATTGAATGTACTCGAACAGATCTATGGTATATTTTAATATCCACATCTAATTCACAACGCCCCTACAGTATATAGTTTCACAATAACTCTGAAGCCCAGATTTGATTGCTGATAATTTAAAAAGATATTTTCGTGGAACACATAAAATACCCATCAAAATAACGTTGTTTGAAATGAAACTTATGTAATCTAGATATCCAATACAGTGAAGCACGATTCAATTCTTCATCTTTGGTTGAAATTCCAAAGGAACATGGAATAGACCTTTGATTATTCAGGATGACCTCTTTGGTAAGTTTCGTTAGGGTTTATGTTGAGTTTCCAAGTGAAATGTCAAAACCTAATTCCGTTATCAACTGATTTATGTAACATGATTTCCTCACAAAAATATGTGTTTGGGGCTCTGCCTGCCTGTCATAGTCTCGACTAATTTCATCAGTATTTTAAAGTTGGGTTTTCAATTGATGGATATAGGCTCATGAAATGTCGGACCTTTGGATAACACATTTTGAAGCGAAGTGTTATTGACAATGTTCAGGTCACCAGTTATAACGTGGTCAGCCGTATTATATATAAATGGGGAACTAGTACAGGTGCATTCGAGAGGATCAGACTTGAAGTCGTCAATATTGAAATCCTGAAACACGTGTTGGTCGCAATTGGTTTGGTATAGGTATAAGAGATGATAAGTACAAACAAATCTTAAAAGGTTCCTTAGCTGTCAAATTCTTGATCACCGATTGGACTTAAATTCTCATATTTGATTAAAAACATATTAAAAGTGTATCCAAATCTGATCTATTAAGGATGTCACTTAATGATGCGTTAACCCTTTATAATGTATCAGCATTTCGTGTGAAGTTTAGACAAGACGCCATCAAATTAATCATCGAGATGACCTCTGAATAATGCCGACGGTCTTACGACCTGATATAAACATAAATATAAATAAACAGATAAGCACGTGCAATTTTGTAATGACGATTTTTCTATGTGTGTTTGGTTATATGTTATAAGTTTAAAACAAAAGTAAATCATCGTTTTAACTGTATATGAATGATTTTTTTGAGGAACGAATCAGTAAACAAAATGTTTTTTTCCTGGTGGCTCCCTTGTTTCACTTATCAATGTGGACATTTTTTTCTTTTTAATAACTGAACATGATTAGCACATGCTTAACTCGTGGTCAAATTGAAGGTTGCATGAATACGGAGTCAAATGAGTTGAATTATTGACTTGCCAGCCAATAATACATTTGTGAAGTTTTTTTTAGCTTTTTTTGGACAAAATGAAACCAAACTGACAGCTAATAGCGAAGATTTATTTCAATATTCCACTTTTATAAATGTTTGAAACAAAAAAAAAATATCTCATTTTATCTTTAGACTAGATCGTAGCTAATGCCTCTTTAAAATAGTAAGGTATATTCGAGTGAACTGATTCATGATGAAGGAAATTACCCAAGTTGATGGCATCAAGATCTTTTTTTGGCAAAGGAAAGTGTTAGAAAAGATCTTTTCTCCTTTGCATCTTTTCCAAAATGTTTGTGACTGGCAATATCCGTGATGATAGCTGTAAGTTTATATTGGTTCGAATAGGGATTGTTAACAGTGGTTTCCAAACATAAGCTATACAGAGAATGAACTTTTGATGGCGTAGTGAATAAAACTTCGTGCAAATGTAATGAATACCCAACAGCTTCTGCATAATTGACAGAAGGTCATTTATAGAGACATCATAAAGAGTAAGTGATGTATAATGACGAAAAGACCATGACTACGACGCGGAACAGATTTGAAAATATTCGTCACATTTACAGAGCTACAGGAAGGACTAGATAGAAAACCTATACTATCAAATATATCATTGGTTACTGTCTGTCATATTTGTTTTATTAAAATGATGAATTACTTCGGGTGGCTGCTAACAGTTTCGGTGTAATAACTTATGAAACTTTTATTTAATATATTTAAATTTCAATATGTTGTTACTGATACAAAATGTAAGTCAAGTTCAATATGTGACTACTTTCACTTTTACTGTTCAGCAGTTATGGTCCTTGATACATTGGAAAATGACTCTTACAGCGTTTCCGTCCAATAACCTATGAACTGTTCAACCAATGCTTTTCAAATTTTATAATGTTGTTACTGATGACAATATGGAGGTCAACATTTAAATGATTTCAATCAAGTAAAATTGCAAATTCCAGGGAAACTAACCTCGAGATAAAACAAGTGGTCTTTGTGTGTTAATTAAATGTATCCAGCATCTTTATCATAACATTAATTTTAAGTGTGAGCAGGACTGTCTGTTTGTATAAACACTACTTATATTACATATAGGCAAACTGCTTTTCCTTAGAGGCCCTTATCATAGAAAAGCATAACGAAATGGTTGAAAAACAAAAATGCAAACATGTACTTGGCATACATCAGAATAAAAGCCAAGTATAAGGCTCATGTTCAAAACAACTGCAAAAATGTTATGAAAAAAATGAACATGATAAAATAACCAATTTTTTACCTTTTTTCAATAGGTTGATTTCAATGAAACAAGTAACATTATTTTGTAATATTTCTTAATGATGAAGCTTATTTGTTCCCTAAGGATGGTCTGGAACACATTAAAGTTTTCTTGAACAATTCTATTATTTGTTTAGGAAGTATAAGATTTCCTTGAACAACATTTCTCATGGGGAATGGATTTCTGTCTGAAACATAATGAAACTTACTAGTAAGATATGATGGGGCACAAACTTGTGATATTTTATTCTCTGTTCAACTATTATCCTGTATAATTGTTTGAATAAGGGACAACATTTCCCTTTGGTATCTTTCACCTCTCTTTTATTCTAGCAGCTCTCTTTTGTAGTTATTAAGTTGCTGATGACAAAATATTACAAACTCAAAAGGCATTAAAAAGATCTAATCCTAATTAATTTTCAAATTCATTTGACCGAATATTTAAATTTCATTTCTGTCATTCCTTTTTAGCTCACCATAGGGCCAAGTGAGCTTGGCTCCATCGTCGTTGCTTGTTAACTTTAATAAAAAATCTTCTCCTCTGAAACTACTAAGCCAAATTTAATCAAATTTTGGCCACAATTATCATTGGGATATATAGTTATAAAAATGTGTCTGACGACCCCGCCTGCCAACCAACATACTAGCACGGCTAAAAAATACAAAAAAAAAATACGGGTAAAATGCAAGTTTTGTCTATCATCTTGAAAACAGCTTTAAATAGAGAAAATCTGACTGAGCAGAAATGTTCAGAATATTGAGATCTACCTACTGTCCATTTATATCAAAACTATCAGACAACGTCTTATAGGAGTTATTGCCTTTAAATCACGAATTTTACTATTTTTTTTAATTTTTGCCTATTATCCTGAAAACTAAAATAAAAAGAGATAAACCTCAATCAGCAAAAATGATTAGCAAGATTCGATCTACAAATAAGTTAACTTTGCTGAAATCGTCATACAGCTCCTTAATGGAGTTATTGGCATTTAATTTTTACCAATGTTTTGTGTTTTTGCCTAATATCTTAAAAATTGTAATAGATAGATAGA